CTACTGCTTCTGTGAGTGTTGATATTTGATCCAAGAAGAACGACGAAGTCCTTGACAACTTCAATCTTTTCTCTGTTGATAAGAATGTTGTCTATTGGTCCAGTAGTGAGGATTTTTTGTTTTCTTTACATTGAGATGCAATCCATACTGAAGGTTGTGCTCTTTGATCTTAATCAGTAAATATTTTAAGTCCTCTTCACTTTCAGCAAGCATGGTTGTATCATCTGCATATCTCAGGTCGTTAATGAGTGTTCCTCCAAAGGAGGGAAGAAGTCTTAGATCTGGGTTTGCCCAGCTAGTCTCTGACTTATGAAATATTCCAGTTACAACAATCCATACTTCCAATGATCCATGCTTACAGCTATCCATTTTTGTTTTGTTTTATTTTGACCATCTTATTGTTCATTAGTAATATGTCCTACATACAATGCTGCAATGCATAATTTGCTGTTGTTCTCAGATGTTCACTTGAAGATGTTCAAGTTTATGATTTACTGTTCTTAACACTGCATATAGATTTTGTTTTCTAAATGAAATCAGGGACTTCAGTTGCTTGAAAACATGGACTCAGTTGCTGGTCCCTAATGTCGATAGGCAGATTCAAGAAGCAGTGAGATGTTACCTGGCAATATAGAAAGAAAAAAAGGATTATACAGATACTCTCACTAATTTCTGACTAGAAATGCCATCCTTCTCCCAGGGATAATCCTGAGAATCCAGAACCTTCCACAACTAACAAAACATCAATGCTGTCCAACTCTTCCTCATCACCAGAGTAGATGTTTATGACTTATGTAGTCTTTTATTTGTATATATTAAAATACATCTGTAAGCTTATATATGTCTAACCCTCAAAGATCAGATTTCTAAAGATACTGATAATAAAAGGCAATAATAATGAAAGTGAAAAAAATAATAAAGAGGTATTTGACTTATATCAGAACCCACTTACCAGGAGTTTTGGGAAGGAAAGCTCATCATAATTAGGAACTAACTGTACCTAACTCATAGGGTTGTTGTGAGGATTATAATAGGCAATGTATGGTTATTGTTGTTGTTAAGTACCATGGAGTCAGTTCCAACTCATAATAACCCTGCACAGGGTTTCCGAGGCTGCAAATCTTTACAGGAGCAGAAAGCCTCATCGTTCTCCCGCAGAACAACTGGCAGTTTCAAACTGCTGATCTTGAAGTTAGCAGCCCAATTCGTAACCACTATGCTACCAGAGCTCCTTAATGCAAGGTAGGAGCTCTTATAAAATTGGTATCAAATCTCAGCTCCATCATCTCTTCTACCAGGAAAGCTTTCCTGACTCTCTATTTCTTTTTATTGTGAACTGTGTGAAGGTCTACAGACAAGATCATCAGTTTTATATTCAATAAATCATATTCTTTGTTCCATCACTATGATTGTAATCCCCTCCATGCAACAACAGTTACCCCGCTTCCTCCCAGTTGTTCCTATTTCCATTCCACTACCTTCCCATCCCTTCTCAACTTTGTCCTTAGGAAAATGTTTCCCTTTTGATTCGGAGTGACTGACCATTCCATGGTGAGCATACTTTATTAGTGTTGTTGTTCCTCTATATACCTATGTACTGCTTGGCTGAAAACTGGGCCACGAGAGTGAGTTTCTTTCCACATCTGAAGGGTGGTCAAAGATCCTCTAGTCTCTTTCTAACTAGTAAACCCAGTCTTTTTTTTTTTCTTAATAATTATGATTTTTGTTCCACATTTTCTCCCACTCTATCTGGGACCCTCCAATGTGAGTCCTTTCAGAGCAGTTAGTATGGTAGCTGGTCTCAGACTCTTCTGGTTTCAGAGTCATGGAGACTGATGTTCACATGTTCCCTTAGTCTGTTGGACTAATTGATTCCAAGCCTCTTCACTTCTTACCACTCTTCTTTCTTCCATACATGGAGAGACCAATAGCTGTACCTTAGATAGCCGCTCATGAGCTTTCAATATGCCAGATGCTACTCCACAGCACATAACCACCAACAACCACCCACCAAAGTAGGATGGAGAACATCGTCTTTGTGGACTGTATTATGTCAATTTGCCATGGTGTCCCCTGAGACTATGGTTCTGAGCCCCCAGGCCCAGCAACTCATTGCCTTAAGATGTTTGATAACATCTAGAAGGTTTTCATCATTTTGCCCCCAATATGCACCACCACATCCATAGTGGTATTTACATGAAAAGTAAATACTCATGTACAAATATCCTCTTCCGAACTCTTATATATCTGTCGGGGATATATATATATATATATATATATATATATATATATATATACCACTCTGCCTCCCTTACCCATTCAGCCTATGTCTCAGTCCATGTATCTATGCACAGAACACTGTTGTTCCAAGGTTACGTATGTATCACTATTTACCTCTATCCCCATTAGCCCATGCATACCTCTCAGTGTCTTCCCCTATCTTCATTTTTCTTCTGCCACCCTCCCTCTTCTTGTATATTGCCTTCCCCATTCTTATATATTGTCCTCCCATCACCCAAGCTAACATGTGTCTACCATCTAGCCAGTGAGTTGCTCTTCCTTTCCTCCAACCCCTAATAACCATAAAAGACTGTTTTGTTTTTTTGGGGGGGTTAAGTATGAAAACTTTTCTTAAGTTTTTACAATAATCGTCTCATACAATATTTGTCCTTTTGTGACTGACTAATTTCACTCAGCATAATGTCCTCCAAGTTCATCCACATCATGAGGTGTTTCCTGACTGTCTTTTCTTTTACCCTACTTCTGCAATCTGTACTGAGCAAATAATCCAAGAAGATAGATTATATGGAAAAGAGCATAGCATCAGGATTGAGGAAGACTCATTAATAACCTGTGATATGCAGATGACACAACCTTGCTTGCTGAAAGGGAAGAGGACTTAAAATACATACTGATGAAGATTAAAGACTACAGGCTTCAGAATGGATTGCACCTCAGTATTTAAAAAAATAATAAAATGCCTCCCCAGCTGCCTGAGTGTCTGCGCCATCATGAATGGCACAGTAACTATCCGGACAAGGAAATTCATGACCAACAGACTACTACAGCGGAAACAAATGGTTATTGATGTCCTTCACCCCGGGAAGGCAACAGTACCTAAGACAGAAATTTGGGAAAAACTTGCCAAAATGTGTAAGACAACACCAGATGTCATCTCTGTATTTGGGTTCAGAACCCATTTTGATGGTGGCAAGACTACTAGTTTCGGCATGATTTACGATTCCTTGGATTATGCAAAGAAAAATGAACCCAGACACAGACTTTCAAGACATGGACTGTATGAGAAGAAGAAAATCTCAAGAAAACAGCACAAGGAACTCAAAAACTGAATGAAGAAAGTCAGGGGGACTGCAAAGGCCAATGTCAGTGCCGGCAAAAAGAAGGAATAAAGATTCTGAGATGCCTATGTGGATTTTTCACCAACGATTAATAAACCATAAAATCTTTAAAATAATAATAATAAAATCCTCACAATTGGACCAATAAATAACATCATGATAAATAAAGAAAGACTGAAGTTTTCAAAGACTTTATTTGCTTGAATCAAAACTCATACAAGTAGCACTCAAGAAATATTGGCTTAGGCAAATCTTCCGCAAAAGACCTCTTTAAAGTGTTCAAGAGCACATATATCAGTTTGAAGACTAAGGTACGCCTGACTTAAGTCATGGTCTTTTCAGTTGTCACATAGAACATAAAAGTTGGTCAGTGAATAAGGAAGACCATAGAAGAATTGATGCATTTGAGTTAGGGTGTTGGAGAAGAATACTGAAAGTTCTGTGGGCTGCCAGAAGAACAGATCTGTGTTGGAAGCATAGCCAGAACGCCCCTTAGAAGTCAGGATGAAGACACTTTGTCTCTCATACTTTGTACATGTTATTAGGAGAGGCCAGTCCCTGGAGAAGGACATCAAACTTTGTAAAGTGGTGGGTCAGTGTAAAAGAAGAAGACCCTCCAATGAAATTAATTAGCACCGTGGCAACAGCAATGGGCTCAAGTGTTAACGATTTTCATTCTTTTGTGCATAGGTTCCCAGAGTAGGACCCAACACAAAGGCACCTAACAATCCTGAATCAAGTCCCTATTATATGCTTACAGGCACTATATAAGTTTCTACTTCCCATCACTCATCTTAGCTGTCAGGTTACAACAATGCGTGTAGTCATTTAATTATTATTTTCTCTCTCTAGACTGCAAACTTTTATCAGATGATGTCTGTTTTTTGCCCTTCATACAATCTCCTGCGCCTAATACAGCATTTGTCACGTAGACTTAAATGAGAATTTAAACCCAAATTTTCTGATTCACTCTAGATTTGACCATTTCTCTTAATCTTGGAAAAATATGTGTTACCAAGGAGCCCTGGTATCGTAGTGGTTATGAACTGGGCTGCGAACGTTCAGCAGTTTGAAACTACCAGCTGTTCCGCGGAAGAAAGATGTGGCACTCTGCTCTCATAAAGATTCACAGCCTCGGAAACCCTCTACAGGGTCGCTATGAGTCGGTTCCGACTCCACGGCACATAACCACCACCACCAACAGTGTTACCGGACCCTGCAGAATGAGATAATGTGACTATTACTCCTCTGAGAGACATTATAAATCCCCAAGGAGTAGAGGACGCGAGAATAGCTCTTTCACATCTAGGTCTAGGAGGACACAACTTCCTTGAAGCAATGCCTCAGTAAAACGCAGTTTCGCCCTCGCTTCCGTACAATGACCCAAGATGGCGGGGCCCAAAACTTGAAAACCATACCCAAGATGGCGGCTTCCATCGCCCTCCGCAACGTCGCGCAAGGCTTCGGAGGCCACGCCCACTTCCGGCCGCACCGCCTGAGCATGGCGGTTTTGAAAACTCTCCTCCTACGTGAGTGATCGAGGGCTGGTGGGCTTAGAAACCAGCGGGTCGCGGGCCCGGGGATCGCCCTCAGCCTGGTTGTGCGGCTATCGCTTACCTCTGCCCCGTTTCTCAGCAGGTGTCCGGAGGCTACATTGCAGCGCGGCGGCTCGGGCAGGCGGCCAGTGGAGGCTCAAGTGAGTTGTTGGGAGGTAAGACAGCTGGGGGGTCAGGAGCCGAGTCGTGTCCTCACCCGACCGTTTTTTTCCCCACAGGCAAGGTCTAGCTGCCAACCCCGCCGGCTACGGGCCCCTTACAGAGCTCCCAGACTGGTCTTACGCGGGTGAGCGCAAAACTAATCCTCTATTTCCAAGATTTTTACCCGGAGGAAACGCCCCCTGGGCCGGGAGGGCCTCGGAGTATCGAGGTGGAGAGGTCTGAGTGGAAAAGGAATTTAACTTTATATTTGGAAAACGGAGTTTGAGTGTAAAAGCTATAGGAGCAGACCTGGACTAGTAACCATAAGGTCAGCGGTTCAAACCCACAAGCTGCTCTTTGGAAACTCTCTACAGGGCCTCTGTGAGCCAGAACGGAGTCCACAGCACTGAGCACAGCAACAACATGGAAAGTAAAGCTAGACAGGGTCAGCTCTTCTCGGCTTGTGAGGATACATAGAAGATGGAGACCCCCGGGGTGGAGAGGGGACAAGACTTTTACGCTTCTCAAAAGGGGACTTGGGTTTTTTGTTTGTTTTTAAATTAGGAAGCACTGAGTACATTGCTGAAAGTGTGGTTCCAAATGCAAAGAGAGCTCTTTTGAAAGTGCCCAAATAAGCATCTAAGAGAAGTAGAAAGGTGAAGATTAAGGATGGGGATGGCAGGCTTCTTTCGGAAAAGTCTTTTTCCCTTTACTTAAAAAATAAGAAGAGGAAGGAAACGAATAGAGATATTGGCCTTAGAAGGGACCTTAGAAAAGTTGAAGCTATTCCTGACAATCCATGTAGGACTTTTTTGTTGTTAAGTGCCATCGAGTTGGTTACAACTCATAGCGACTTTATATAGGGTTTCCGAAGAGCAGCTGGTAGATTTGAACCACTTACCTTAAGGTTCAAACTGGCCTTGAGATCCATTGCTTATCCTCCAGCATCACACCAGTACTGCAGGATAAGCACTAGACTGCAAGCATTGTTAAAACTAATATAAATACTCCTTGTCGCAAAAAGTCAGCAGAACACAATTTAAGCCAGCCAAGTTGCTGCAAGGAGCCCCGGTGTGACGCTGTAGGTTAAGCACTGGATCACACGGTTGGTTTAAGCTGCAAGGTCAGTGCTTATCCTACAGCACCACACCAGGACTCCACATACAGGGACATTTTGAGTCCATTCCTTCTTTCTGACCCTTCTGAGCTTTGTCCTTGAGCTGACCTATCTATTGTTTGGCTCAAAATTGAGCCATCGGAGTAAGCTCATCTTCAGACCTGAGGGTGACTAAGGGCCAGAGTTTCAGATGTTCCACAAGTCTCTAGCTGACCAGTAAGCCTGAGCTTTTTCATGAATGAGTTTTGTTACACACTTTTCTACCAGTCTTTCCAGGACCTTCTAATGTGAATTCCTTTTGGAGCAGAGTATTAGCTGGACTCCATCTAGTTCTTCCAATCTTAAGAGTTGTAGACACTGATATTCACATGGTCCATTAGTCCACTGGACTGATTGTTTCCCTGTGTCTTTGATTTTCATTACTCCCCTTTCCTCCAGACAAGGAGAGACCTCAGATAGCCACACATGAGCTTTTTAGACCCCAGTAACTACTCACGTGGTGCGGCGTTGTGGGTTAATGCTCTGGACTGCAAGGTCAGTTTGAACCTCAAGGTCGGCAGTTCAAGCTCACGAGCCGCACCATGGAAACCCTATACAGGGTCACTATGAGTCGAAACTGACTTGACAGCACTTAACAATAACAGCAGCTACTCACCAAAGTGGGCTGTAAAACATGGTCTTTGTGGATTGTTGTTTCTAAGTGCTGTTGAGTCCGTTCTGACTCTTACCTGCTCTGTAGAGGGTTTCTGAAAAGTGGCTAGTGGCTTTGAACTGTCTACCTTGTTTGTGGTTAGCATTCTAGTGCTTATCCAACAGTGCCACATCAGGACTCTCTTTGTGGACTATGTTATGCCGATTGAACTTGATGTCCCCTAAGACTATGATCCTAACTTTCCAGACCCAGCGATTCATTCTTAGAAAGTATTTGGTAAAGTGTAATAACTGCTCCCTGTACGTTCTACCACATTCATGGATATATTTGCAGCAAAGGTAAATATCCATATGCAGATATCTTCTGTGAAACCTATATATATTTGTGGGTATTCTCCCTTTCTCCCTCCCACACCCATTCAGCCTGTGTTTATACATATATCTACCCATTGTTGTCAAATGTCGTCAATCAATTTCAACTCTGACCCTATATAAGATTTCTGAGGAACTGGTTAGCAGTCCAGTGCTTTCCTACTATGCCACACCAGGACTCCTGTATCTATCCATGTTGTTGTTGTTAAGTGCTTTCAAGTCAGTTCCAACTCAGCCACCCTGTGTAGGATTTCCAAGGAGCAGCTGGTGAGCTTGATTTGAACTGACAACTCTGCGGTTCAAACTGACCTTGCAGTCCAGTACATAATCCATAGGGCCACACCAGGACTCTGTATCTACCTATTGTTGTTATGTGCCGTGGAGTTGGTTCTATCTCATAGCGACACTATATAGGGTTTCCAAGGCTATAAATCTTTACGGGATTAGAAAGCCTCATCTTTCTCCCGTGGAACAGCTGGTAGTTTCGAACTGCTGACTGTGAGATTAGTAGCCCAATTCGTAACCACTACGCTACCAGAGCCCCCATAGAGTACCCTTATTGCAGGGTTGTGTGTATAACAGTATGCCTTTAACTCTGGTACTCGTCCCCATGTTAGTATCTCTTTGTAGTAGCATAGAATATTAGAAAGATACTGGAGTTTATACAGACCTTTTATTTGTAAAAAAGAATACCTATTTCATATGGGATCCTGGTGTGGTGCTGTGGGTTAATGTGCTGGACAAACCCTATGTTGTTGATGTTAAGTGCTGTTGAGTTGATTCCAACCCATACCTACCCTGTGTAGGGTTTCTAAGGAGTGGCCAGTGAGCTTGAACCATTGACATTGCAGTTCAAACGACTTTGCAGTCCAGCGCATTAACCCACACACAGCACCACACTAGAACTGCCGGAAGCCCTATATAGGATTGCTATGGCACTTACAACAACAATGGTTCTTATAAAAATCAAATAAAACAAAAAAATATAAACCTACCGTATGCAATATTGGTTCCATTTCCTGATAAATAATATCTCTTACCTGTCCTGCCTTCAGACTTTTAGGCAAAGCTTTCTCTATTGGTTTCTTCATAGAAAGTTAGTATCCTTTTTCCACATCTCCAATATAAATTAATTGAGGTCAGATACTACATCTTTTCAGCAAGTCAGCAGACAGTTGCAGAGTATTTATTATGTGCTTATGTGCCTATACTGGAATCTTGGTATGGTGCCATAGGATAAGCACAGGACTGCTAACCACAAGGTCAACCATTAAAGTCCACCAGTCACTCTTTGTAATCCTGTACAGGGTCACTATGAGTCGGAACCAACTTAACAACATGTGCGTACACTATACAATGAACTGCTAAGAGAGATCTAGTCCCCTAAAGTACTTGAAGTCTAGCTGGGAAAACAAAAGCATGGGCATTTTATCCTACATCTATAATTAGCCCCATGGCCATGAATTCATTGCATACCATTTTGGCATCATTCTGATGATTTCCCTCATCCGGATGATTGTCTTTGTCTTGCCTTTGTCCTGTTTATGTCTTAATAAAAGGGCCTTTATGTCATATTAAAAGGAAAATTGGGGAGAAAGTGTGTTTTTAAAAAATTTTTAATGAAATATTTCAGTACTCTGCTCCTTTCTAAAACTGCTTGAGATACCCAAATAGCACTAAAAACAGTATTACAAGAAATGTCCCAAGAGAAATAGATGAATATGCACTTCTTTCAGAAGTGGTTGCAAATAAATGTTACTAAGAAAATTAGGACTTTGAGGTGGGCCTAAAAATGAAGATTTGGCTAAAAGGAAAGGAAAAGAGGGCATTTCCTTATGGAGAGGGATGGAATTTAACACAAAGAATCGCCATAGAGCATTCATCAGATGGTGTGGGTAGAGGATTTCTGAAGATAAAATGAGATGTAGCGCTACAGAGGACTTTGATTTCTCTAATAAGATAGTATGAACATACTTGGGAGTTCTTGGTGGGCTGTCATGCCTTTGAAGACAAGGGATATGTTTTAAAAGAATTAACCTACAATAAGTAGTGTGAAACAGAAGAGAAAGGCTAGAGATTGATTGAAATTGATACTTCCTTCATTACTATGACAGTGTTTGCACAAGGTGCTGTAGGCCATCTCTGTTGTTACTAAGTGCCATCCAATGGTTGTGGTGGTTATGTGCCATGGAGTCGGTTCCAACTCACAGCGACCCTGTACAGGGTTTCTGAGGCTGTAAATCTTTACAGGAGCAGAAAGCCTCCTTTATCTCCTGCGGAACAGCTGGTAGTTTCAAACTGCTGACCTTGCAGTTCGCAGCCAGATTCGTAACCACTACGCTACCAGAGCTCCTTGTGCCATCCAGTAGGACACTATATATAGGTTCCAAGGAGCAGCTGGTGAGCTTGAACCACCAACCTTGCAGTTCAAACTGACTTTGTAGTATAGCGCATTAACCCACAGCACCACACTATCTCTAACACCTGCCTTTTCTCTTGTTTGTCTCTGCAGATGGTCGTCCTGCTCCCGCAATGAAAGGCCAGCTTCGAAGAAAACTCCAAAGGGAGAACTTTGCAGTGAGTTACTAGAAAACCTAGCTAGGGCTACCTGTATATAATCAAAGAAGGAAATTTTTAATTTTAATGTCTTGAGCTTGTCAGCTGTTACACAAAGGTGCTGAGAAGGGAGGAATGGAGTGGGACAGCTCTAGATCAGAAATAAGTAGTAGATAATCCTGCCCCACATTTTACTACCTTCCTTCTGCTTCCAGATCCAAGACATGGTTCCACCCCTTCCCCAGTCAGCAGTGTCATTTTCCTGAACCTCTGACTTTGATCTGTGTATGAAAGGATATATGGTGCAGAGCTCAAGCTCCAGATGTTATCCACTGTTTTCCTGTCTGTTGCAGAGACGAGTTGTATTGCTGTCACAGGAAATGGAAGCTGGATTACAGGCATGGCATCTCAAGCAGCTGCAGAAATTGCAGGAAGAAGAAAGGAAACATGAAAATGCTCTTAAACCCAAAGGGGCTTCACTACAGAGCCCACTTTCAAGTCATTGAACAGCAATTCTTGCCCTATTCTCTCACCACTGGTTGGCTTTCTTCTTTCTTTTTTTAAAAATTGTGGTAAATTATATATAACAAAATAAATATTGATGCAACAGTCTATCATGTTGTACCAGTGTTGTTGCGTGTATAATTCAGTAACATATCTATCATGTTGTACCAGTGTTGTTGCGTGTATAATTCAGTAACATGTCTATCATGTACCAGTGTTACGTGTACAATTCAGTAACATGTCTATCATGTTGTACCAGTGTTATGTGTATAATTCAGTAATATGTCTATCACTGTTGGACCATGTTGTACCTGTGGTAACAATGTTACCACTATCCTTTTCCAAATTATTCTGTATCATTAATAGAAACCCTACCTAAACAGAAACTTCACCTTTCCCCTTCTTTCCTACCCCAGGTGACAAGTAATAAGTTTTGGTCTCTGTTGTTAAGTACTGTGGAGTCGGTTCTGACTCAGTGACCCTGCACAGAGTTTCCAATGCTGCAAATCTTTATGGGAGCAGAAAGCCTCATCTTTCTCCCGTGAAACAGCTGGTGGTTTTGAACTGCCAACCTTGAGATTAGCAGCCCGATTCATAACCACTATACTAGGATCATATTTGTCCTTTTATTTCACTCAGCATATTTTCAGGCTTCATCCAAGATGCAGAATGTATTGACTGCATTTCTCTTTATGGCTGAATAATATTCCACTGTATGTACTACATTTTGTTTATCCACTTGATAAAGGTTGTTTCCATTTTTTGGCTATTGTGAGTTATTGTTAATGTGCTATTGAGTCAGTTCCAACCCATAGCAACCCTGTGTAGATGGGTTTCCAAGGAGCTGCTGTTGGATTTGAGCTACTGACCTTGTGGTTAGCTGTCTAGTGCTTATTCAACAGCGCCACACCAGGAGTAGTACTACAATTAACATTGGTATACAGGTTCTCTAGGAGCTCTGGTAGTATAGAGATTACGAGTCAGGCTGCTAACTTCAAAGTCAGCAGTTTGAAACTACCAGCCATTCCATGGAAGAAAGATGAGACTTTATAGTCCTGTAAAGATTTACAGCCTTGGGAACCCTATGCAGGGTTGCTATGAGTTGAAATTGCCTCACTGGCACACCACCACCACCACCATACAGGGTCTCTGGCTTTCTAGGCATCTTATCCCAGCCGAAAGGGAGCTTTTATGTTTGCCACCTGTCTTAGTTATGTAGTGCTGAAATACCACAGGTGGATGACTTTAATAAGCTTTAGTTTCAGTTTAGGAGAGTACCAACTTTAAGGGAATGCTTTCTCTCTTCAGCCCTGGAGAAAGGTTCTTTCCTCAGTTTCTGTAGACCCAGCATTCCTTGGAGCTCTCCATGTGTCTTGACGTCAATCTTCCTCTTTATCTAGGAGCTTCACAGTGCAGAGACCCCAGCTCCACTCCTGGCTCTTCTTTCTTGGTAGTAGTAGGGTCCCTCTTTCTCTGCTCTCATGTCTCTCCTGTTATCTGTAAGATAAAATGTGTTACAGGCCACACCCCCAAGGAAATTTCCTTTATGTTGATTGGATGCTTATAGCATATATCACCTTGGAGGTAATTGTATTAGATCTCATCATGGGGAATTTAATCTTAATTGCTAAATCACCTAGAATCTTGGCCCAGTCAAGTTGACACAAAAACTTAACTATCACACCACCTGTGTTCAGATCAAGAGCTTGGACACCAGGAAGAACAGGCTATAACTATTGGTCTCTTCCCATCTGGAGCAAAGAAGGGTGAAGAAAATGAAAGACTCAGGGACACAGTGCAAAGGGCCACAGCCTCCCTAAGCCTAAAACAAGAACTAGATGGAATCACAACAGACACCCTTCAGACTTAGAACTAAACCCACTCCTGGAGCTGGAGACCACCTTACAATCAAACAATGTTGTTGTGAAGTGCTGTCGAGTCAGTTCCGACGTATAGTGACCCTGTACAGGATTTCTAGGGAGCAGTTGGTGAACTTGAACCACCAACCTTGCAGTTCAAACGGCTTTGCAGTCTGGCGCATTAACCCATAGCACCACACCAAGACTATAATAGGCAGGCCTATAAGGTGAACAATAGGCAGGCCTATAAGGTGAACAATATGAGGAACACACTCCTCAGAACATTCAGCTCTATAGATCAAAAGGGCAGCGTTTGTCCAAATGCAGAATTCATAAGGCAGAGAGGGGCGGGAAAGCTTGGATGAATGGAAATGGGGAATCCAAGGTAAAAGTGGGAAAGCGCTGACACATTGTGGAGACTGCAACTAAAATCACAAAACTATAAATTTTTAAATGGAAAACTGATTTGCTCTCTAAACTTTTATCTAAACCACAATAAAATGTTTTTAAAAACTAAGATTAATGTTCTCATCCCTGGCTACATTCCAGTTCAACTGAATCTCAAGGATTTTCACTACTTTTTAAGCCATAGGATTGTCCCAAGTGTGAGTATGCACTGCTTTGGGCACATGAAAAGCAGACAGCAGTTGCCCTGTTTCTAGCCTGTTCTAACAACCCATATGGAGTCCTGGTGTGGCACTGTGGATTAATGCGCCAGATTGCAAAGCCCTCTGAACTGCAAGGTTGGCGGTTCAAGCTCACCAGCTGCTTCTTGGAAACCCTATATGAGGTCTCTATGGGTTGGAGCCAACCTGACAGCACTTAACAACAGCCCATGCAGGAGTCCTGGTGTGGTGCTGTGGGCTAATGTGCTGGGCTGCAAAGTTGGTTTGATAACACAAAGTCGGTTTGATAACACAGTCAGTGGTTCAAGCTCACAATCTGCTCCTTGGAAACCCTATACAGGATCACTATGGGTCAGAACTGACTCAACAGCACTCAACAACAACAGCAGCCCATACACAGTTCAGATAATAAATATTTTGATGAAAAAGTCTTTCCGCTGAGGTACAATTCCTGGCAAGAAATTGGTACCCATTTTCCTTAAGTGTTCAGATACATGACCCGGGAGGATATCCCCACTGGAAGGCTGACAAAGGAAGCATCAGACTTGTCTAGTGCAAGGTTCTGCTTGAGTTGAGTCCTGAAATCTCCATGATTCTATTTGTCCCTCCCCAGGGAGCCCTCAGTCCTCAGACCTGTGTGTTGGCTATCCAGGACCAGGGGAGTCTCATTTTGGTGATCATAGACTCTGCACTTTTCTGTTATCACAAATGTGTGATAGTTTCTGGATCCCCATGATATCTGGACCTTCTCATCTGACCTAATTTCTGTTCAGCCCCTTATTCCTTTCTTGCTTTCTTTCCCTTCCTTTGTCCTCCACTCCCTCCTTCCCCTCTTGCTGACCAAATACAATTCTTGGATCTTAGATTTCGCTGATGAAAAGTTTTCTGTCTCCCACACTTTTCCTGCTTCCTTTGTGCTGCTTTTCCAGGTCTAGTTCTCAGCCTCTTATCTGTCTTCTTTTCCCACCATCAACTTTAGTCACCCTCCCCCTCCCCTGAATACCTCCAACCTTTTGTTCTCAGTGTCTAGTCAGTCCCTGAAGAAGGAGCATTTTTTGCTCTTCACGGAATTAATTGCCTCCTTTTCCAATGTAGAGGTAAAGGAACCTCCAAGTCCAAACACACAGTAACTTTCTCCCATCAATTTCACCAAACTGAATTTGCTTTTCCCCAGATTCCATGGGCTTGCACCCCAACCAGTTTCCTAATTTAAGGAGCAGTCAGATTGCATATGACAATAATAAAGGAAGCACATTTGTCTTTCTACTTGGACAGATCTCCAGATTCAATGTGATTGTTGGGTTTGATGTTGGTAGTGTGGAGTTTGAAGTGGGAGAGTTGAGTGCTATTTCTTTTTTAGGCAGGGGAGGGAAGGACGGAGGTGGTGGTTAAGAATAAAGGACAAAAGTTCCAATTTGGTCCGCGGCACAGGTACCTGCATACAACCCCCCAATTGTTACTTAGCTGGCTTCTTTCCCCAAAACAGGCCTCAGGGAGAAGTTCTTCCCCCCTTCCCATACCAGACCCTGAGCTCCTTGTTAGTCCCAGCTGCTTAGACACCCGAAACTTCCCACCCTGAGGTGAGACAAACGCTGAAAACCAGAGGAATCCAGTCACCCAAAATATGCTTAGGAGGAGAAAGTCTCCCACATCCCGTCACCTGGGTCCCAGTTCCCGGCCAAGGCCTCAACCCCTGCAGATGGCAGCCTGCACCACAGAAACACAGTTTAGAGCAGTTCTTTTTTTTCTCCAGCTCTGGGCTGTAATTGGATTCAGGCAGAAACAACCACGTCCCCACTAGGAAAGGAGGGATTTGGGGCGGAGGCGGGGGAGAGACTGTGGGAGAAGGGAGGGACCTGAGGAGAGAACTAGGAAAGGACTCCCGACCCAGTTCGCCGACTAAGCAGAAGAAAGATCAAAAAAGCGGAAAAGAGAACAGCAAACAGGCACTTTCAAGAACAATCCCCTCCGTCTCCAAGCCAGCAGCGCTCTAGGAATCCAGTTTCAGTGCCTCCTGAAGACAAAGGCGCCCCGAGGGAGAGGCGGTGCGACCCCAGGGCGTGGGCCCCACCGCGGAGCCCGCACTGCTCAGCTGCCCCGACGGCTGCAGACCATGTCTCTCACCCCACTACCCACTTGCAGGCTGCTGCTCCCTCTGCTCACGCTCGCCACCGCGCTCGCCTCGCTCGGCTCGGCCCAGAGCAGCAACTTCAGCCCCGAAGTAAGTGAACTTCTCCGGCCCTTCCCGGAGTCGCGCCTGCCGGGGAACTAGCCCGGGTGCCTCCAGGGCATTTCCCCCATCCGGAGAGGAGAGCTCTAGGGATTTCGGCTGCCAGGGTCTGCAAGATCACTCTTTCCTTTCCCGATTCATCTCCGAACTTCCAAGTTGGTCCAACTTGTACCGCCTCTATCATCTCCCCATCCCATACTTTCTTTCCCATACCTTCCTTTCCTTGGAAGAACTTCACTGCTGAGCTAGACCCCATCCCCCAATTCCCCCGGGCTCTGAGCTCAGCTCTGGAACCGGTTGGAAGCCAGATAAATATTTG